GAAATGATGGGGTCAGATAACTTCTGTAGACTAACTGTATTGCCATTTTGTTTCTAGGATGTTTGGGGAGAGCAAAAAGTTGTTTTGGTATTGTCCTTCCCCCAAAACATTGTAGTGCTAGGGCAAACCACAGACTTGGTGCCTCAAACAATAGAAATTTATTATCTCACTGTTCCTGAAGCTAGATGATCAAGATCAAGGTGTGAACCTACTAGGCTGATTCCTTCTGAGGAATGAAAGGGAAGGAGCTGTTCCCTCTCTAGGCTTGTAAATGGCTACCTTCTCCTTGGGTCTTTTCGCAGCATTCTCTGTGTGTGCGTCTGTGTTCAAATTCCTCCCTTCTTTAGAAGGTCAGTGATAACATTGGATTAGGGTCCACTCTCATAACCTCACTTTAATGTGATGACCTGTGTAAAGACCTTTCTCTTTCCATTTTCTCAGGGGTGCTCTATGCCTTTTACAACATTACTAGAAATCCTCTTCATGCCCTTTGGGTTCTTCCAGATCTAGTCCCTTCATTAAGTTAAAGTTTATTATTTGAAACTAAAAAATAAAGTATGTGTGCAGTGAAAGATAGGTGTGACAGTTAAACTGGATGTCAACTGAGTGGCTTAGGACACACCCAGGGGATTAGTAAAGCATACTTCATGCCGGGTGTGTCTGGGTAGGTCACGGAAAGGAGACCTTGTGGTCTACAGCTGGCTCCTGATTTTCTCTCTGGCACCAGCCCCCACGCCCCACCTGCTTCCCAACCACCATAAACTAAGCAGATTTGCTCTGCATGTCCTTCTGCCTTGGATTCCTCTGAAACTGGGAGGCAGATCAAATCTCTCTTCTGTTAATTTTTTTTTTTTTTTTTTTTTTTTTTTTTTTTTTTTGGTATGGGGATCGAGCTCTGGTGCTTGTGCTTGAAGAGCAGGCAGTGGAACCACTGAGCGCAATCCCTGCCCTCTCTTCCTTTGATTTTCGAGTATTGGGTATGTTGTTCTAGCAATAGAAAAGCTGACCAATACAACAACTGATCTTGTTTTCGGTTTTGGCCAGGACGAGGACATCACTTAAGGGATAATTGGCAGGTTTTCACTGTCACCCCATCAGGGAAGGTTATAAGCACACTATAGATGCTTAAATATATAAAATGGAGTTAAAGGCCACAGAGAAGACCTGAAGCAGCAATTATAATTCAGTACTTATCAAGTTGCACATTTTATACCAAGTCTTAAAAGAATTTGAGAATTCCCCATGAGGATTTGATCACTGATTTATAGGACCTGGGATTCTGCTGTAGTCATGGGGGAGCAGGGGGAAGGATGTGATTCTTTTCTACCTAGGTAGGGAGTATAACCGAAATATCTCTTGCTTTCCTCAGTTCCTATGCCATGAAAATTGTCTCATGGTTTGCTTAAAATCTTGCTCATCATTGTTAAAATATCTTGCGTAAGGACAATATTTTTGGAAAAGTCTGTGAATATTCCTAAGCAAGCTGCTGATGAAAGATTTTAAGTAGTGCTAGGAAAATTGGTATGAGGCTAACAGTTCATTAAATACTGTTGCAAATTGATTGAGGAATCATACGCTTCTTTTTTCATTCCCCTCAGGGTGGTAAATCTACTAGTGTAATTTAAGAGAGCCTAGTTGCTTCAGATTTGAGGTTTCTTCAGCATAGAAGAAACATGCTGAAGAATACTATGCTTTCCAGACCAAATATTGGGACAAATGGTCTGAAGATGGGCAAAGTACATAAAATCAACATTGTCCTAATTAATGTGAGGGGAACGATCTCTTGGTTTAAAATAAATCACTCTTTTTCTTTCTTCAGCTGTCTGTAGATAAGAGGGGTGACGAGGAACTCTAAGCAAAGGGGACTACAAGGTATGGGGTGAGCTTTGAAAGAAAGCAGCAAATAGAATAAACTCTAGGCGCTTTAATATGTACAGTTATACGGAGTCCATTTCATAGGTGTTGCCTGATCTCCCTTTTTCGTTTTAAGGAAAATGCTGCAAACTCAAATATCTTTCAGGGTAACCAAGTAATAAAAATGAGGCAAAGTGGGCTGAGTGCAGAGCATGGCAAAGAGGTAGCACATGCTGTGAGTCTTGGGAAGCACCTATCACTCACCTGCAACCTGCAGTCATCCTGCAGTAATGCCTATGGTTTAACTGCAATCAGATCATCTAATGTGTTTAGGATCAGGCTATTGATATTTTTATATAAAACTTCCAAATTTTAAATGAGAGCAACTTCTTTTTTTTTTTCTTTTTCTTTTGGAGACAGGGACTCATTTTGGTTCAGGCTGGCTGTGAACTCACTATGTAGCCCAGGCAAGCCTTGCACTCCTCCTGCCTCAGCCTCTAGAGTGCTGGGATTACAGGCTTGTGTCACCATGCCCAAAAGAGCAACTAATTTTTTTAAATGAAGCACTATGAAGGAAAGAAAATGTGCCTGTGGGCCAGAAATGATCTCTGGCTCTTAGCACAGAAATTCTGTTCTGAGGGAACTTCCTACTGTATTAGGTAGCGCCCACAATTTATAGCAGTCTAAGATTTGCTGAAAAGGTTCATTCTTTACTTAATTGCACTAGCCATGCTGTTGTAAACTTAGAGGAAGTTATCCCTCAAGACTGATCTTGTACTGGGCAGTGATAAACATTTTTTAGTTCACTGAAGTCTTTCCAGTGAATTTTGGACTTAATGGTTGTACAGAGGCAGAAAAATATGCACGTGTTTCTTTACTAGTATTTTTTGGTTTGATACCAATGAGTCAATTTTCTGCCCTTGCTCTTATCAGAGGAAGATAGAGGCAAATCTTTTATTTACAGTAAAGAAAAGAGCCACACAGGGACTCCAGACAAGCCATGGTAGCTATGCTGTTCTCAAGTAAATTACTTGTTATAATCTGTCTCTCATGCTAGTCAGATACTCTTCATCTCTGTATTATCCATACTTGGCAAAACACCAGAGGTGTCAAAGATTCTCAGAAAATATTTATGCACTGGAATAAGCTGAATTGCATGACAAAATTTAACTTGGCTCTCAAAGCCTGTTGGCCTATGAAGTCACTTGCATCATTAGCTCATGCCCAAAGAGTGCCAAGGTCAAGACCAAACTGCCCTATTTTCCCAAGGTATCTTGACAAATACTGCAATATCTTTTACTCCTTCAGTACCTCTGAAATCTACTGATTGTCAAATATCTAATTTAAATATTTCTTTTTTTGGAATTCCATTTCATTATGATGAATTTTGTTCTATATCTAACAAATCATAAACTACTAGTCATGCTTGCAAGAAATGTCAGGACAATCACTTCTACAGCTAAATTTTAAACATTAACCCTCAAAAAGCACCGCCTGTCTCTATCAATTTGTAAGGACAGTGAGCACTGACATTTTATGCCTAAAGTGGCATATACTAAGGGTCATAAATTCAAAGGCTGGTAGAAGCCAGACAGGTAACATAAGTAGCTTTGATATAAGAAAATGAGGAGTTGACTGACTGCCACAGACTAGAATTCAGCTGCTCCATCTCTTCACTTCATGGGCAACACAGAGCTAGAGTTGCAAGATTTTCTTTCTTTTTTTTTTAAGCCAAAAGTTTGGAAGTCAAAGAAAACAGTTCTGTAAGCTGCCAGTTTTGACCTGTGTATAGCACTTTATTTTCCTAGAGTTTAGAGAATATTTTCCAAACAAAACAGCAGGAGAATATGCCCGAAAAATATTGGCACCATAGATCTATCAAGATCCAATAAATCACCTCCAGCGAGTATTTCGGGGTGCTCAGCCAAACCCTACACTTTAAAACACTATCTCAAGGAGAACAATATCTTCCCTTTTGAAAAGGTTCATTTGTGGGACTCTGTTAAAAAGACATCATCATATCAGTTGTATCCTGATTTAGTTCCTCTAGTAAGAATGGAAGTGGAGAAAGCTACATTGGGTTTGGTCAAATTACAAAGGCCTAGAAGCACGATGTTCTAAAAATATTTACATGAAATTAAAATAAACAGGGCACTAAAGTGAATTTTGATAATTTACTTTGTCAATGTGAGTCTGTGCTTTGATTTCTGTTCCACATTTTTTCATTCTGGAAATTGTCACTAGGTATACTTTATCTCCATGGGGATTGTCAATCACAGGACTCTATGAATGGTGCAATATCTAGGCTGGCAAATTAGGAAATCTCATTTCTACTACAAGGGACCATGTAGGCATTGATCTATGCCTAAAATCTTACAACACACATGAAGACATTACTTCAATATCAATGATGTCTGGGTCTACCACAAATACTGACCAATAAGTTGACTTTTAAACTTAAGTTTGGTTCTTATAAATTACAACTGAAAGCCTTGATGAATATAAGAAACACCGTGATTCATATTTTTTAGGAGAATATGGATCCAATTAGAATATGGATCCAATTAAATTAATTTCAGAAATAGGCAAATGAACTGTAAAATTACTTTTTGGCTCAACATATATTTATAATTAACATTTCATATTCTGTTCTTTTAAATATATGAGTGTCACATAATAAACATTTTTCTATTCTCATTCAAGTACTATTTCAAAATATACTTTCTGAATTAATTTTATGAGTAATGCCATGTTCAGTAACAAAAATTCCGAGAATATAAAAAAGCACAAAGGGGGGAAACCCAAAACAAATGTTAACTTTCAAAGTGAGGATTAGATTAAATTGTTAGGCAGAGTTGCATTCTACACATTACTGTACAATTTTCGATGTATATGTTGAATTAAATAATCCATGAACTTTTAATAGGAAATAAAATTAAGAATTATACTGTAAATCTCTGTTAAAGCATTATTTGATAGAAGAATGTACAACCTTTGCTTTTATCTCCTACACAGAGAATATTGCAGGAAGCTGAAAGTGGATGACGGAGTGACTGCCTTCAGAACAGTCACGATGCTTAGGTTACTGAGACTGTCTCCAGTTTCCATCAGAATTTGGTTACCAGTGGGGCAGAAAGCATGCTCACCTCCTCGTTCTCAATTTTGAGTGTGGCCAATCGGGACTGCAGCTGCTGGTACCTGAGCATGAGCTCCGCCTGGACTGGCTGCTGGGCGCTGACCTGACACACCTGATGGAGAATCAGAAACTGCAGTTACAACAAGGCCAAGCCAACCAGCCTCCTGGGGGAAAGGTTTCCTCTGTCCATTCTGTAGGAGTCACACTGATCCTAAGATTCCAATACATCTTTGCTTACAGCAGTTGCCTCAAAAGTTGTTTTAAAGAGATGTGGTCATTAAGTGGCAAGCACAGAATGCAGCTGCTTGGCCTGGCTGATGAAGACAACAGCTTCAGGAAGCACTGCTCTGAGAACAGCCAGTTCTGAGATGAAGCATTGATGCTGAGGTCTTCCTCAAGAAATCTTTTTCATCCCCCCTGGTACTGGAGATGGAATTTAGGACCTTGTGCTCACCAGGTGTGGTGCCACTGAGCTACATCACCTGCCCTCCCTTGTGTAATCTTAATGGCCTTTGGCAGGGAGCAGAGTGCAAAGGATGGTCCAAGAGGACTATATAGGCAGAAGGAGAGAGGCAGCAGGGCTTGCTGGTTAGGGTGGGCTCTAAAGCTGCGCTTGAATTCCAGCTCTGCTACCTACTAGCCAAGTGACTAAAACTATAAAACCTTAGCTTCCTCATCTGTAAAATGGGGATAAGATTTTCTACAGTATAAGGTTGCTGTGAGAATGAAATGAAGCAATATATACCAAGCACTCAAAGTATGTCTGGCAAGTACTAAAAACTGAGAAAATGTGAATGACTACATTTAGCAATTTTCAACCATGGTTTACTAGCCAGTATCAGCCACGTTGTATGATTCACCATCTACTTACACAGGAACATGCACCAGCTCACTGTGAGGATGTGATCATTATGTACTACAAACATGTCTTCAGAAAGACTTTATTGGGTTATAAAAATGCTTTTTAAAAAAAATTCAAATTTCAATGTTTTGAGGTGGAAGATCATGCTAATTATTCTATAGTCATTAGGTAAATTAGCACCTTTATCTGTTTGCCATTCAAGCGATCCTTGCTTTAAAAGGTAGTAGCGGCTGGTTTTAGTATAGTACTATGCCGAGCTCCTTTACAAGGGTAGAAGAGAGAAAAGACCTGGGAATTCTTAAACAGCTATTGTGTTAGAACCAGTGAGGAGGAATGCAAATGAAGAGACAATTCATTCATTTTAAAATCATCAGTTACTGACCTCATCACCCATGTGAGACTGAAATTCAAATTTCATTGGTGGACAGAACGCGGCAGGATACATCTCCATGAATCTCTGCTTGTCACTCCTAGGTTCTAAATTATCAACGGCATTCTCAATAATATCTAAGCCTTCATGTCTGGAGGTTTCAAGGTTATACTCTGCAGAGAGATATGTCCTTAGGGCTCTGTTCAGGCTTGCATGGTAGCCAAGATCACAGCACTTAAAAAACAAAAGAATACAATATAAAAAGTTAGTGGAAATTTGATCAAAGATCTAAATGTGAGACCTATAAAACTCTTAGAAGAAAACAGGTAACCTTATGACACTGGATTATACACTGACTCCTCGGATGTGACATTTGAAGTACAGGCAACCAAAGAGTGAAAAAAAAAAACAAAACTGGACTTAATCAAAATTGTTAACTTTCATGTTGTAAAAGACACTGTCAAGAAGTTGAAGACAACCCACAAAATGAGAAACTGTCTTTTTCAAATAATGTATCTGATAAGGAACTTATAATCAGAGAATATGAAGAACTCTTAGTAAATCAATGATAAAAAGATAAATGGCCCAGTTAAAATGGGGGCAATGGCTCTGATTAGACATTTATCCAAAGAAGGTACAAGTGGTCAACAAGCACATGAAAAGATGCTCAACATCACTGGTCATCAGGGAAAAGCAAATCAGACTCACAATGAGATAGCATTTTAATTTGTTAGCATGGCTACAGTAAAAAATACAGATAATAACAAGTGATGGAGAGACTATGGATAAATTGGAACCCTCACCTACTGCTGCAGGGGGTGCAAAATGGTACAATCTCTTTGGAAAACAATCTGTAGTTCCCCAAAAAGTTAAATATACTGTTACCATGAGACTCAGGAAAACTACTTTTAGGTATATACCTGAGAGAAATTAAAACATTTCCTACATAAGAAGTTGTATATGAATGTTTATAGCAGCTTAATTTGTAATAGCACAAAAGCTAAAACAACCTAAATGTCCATCAATAAATGAATAGGTAAATAAAACGTAGCATAACCATACAATGGAATATTATTCAGCCACAAAAAGGAATGAAGTACTTTTACCGTAAAGACCTTATGTTATATGAGAGAAGCCCAACATAAATGATCATATGAGTTTATTTCTATGAAATGCACAGAATAGGAAAATCTGAAGCAGCAGAAAATAGATTAGTGGTTGCCAAGGGCTGGAGGAAGTGGAAGAATGGGGAGAAGGTTATGGAGAAGGTGTGCAAGATTTCTTTGTGGGGTCATGAAAATGTTCTCCAATTGATAATATTGATGTATAGACAACTCTGTGAATATACTTATTGCTAACTGTAGACTTTTTTTTGGAATCGGGGACTGAACTTGGGTCCTTGAGCTTGCGAGGCAGGGGGCTGCATCACTGAGCTAAATCCCTGGCCCGCTAACTGTAGACTTTTAATGAATGAACTATATGGTATGTGAATTATATCTGAAAAAACAGCTGTTAAAATTTAAAAAAGCAAAGCAAATATTGAAAAATAGCATTCAAGTTTCATTCATGCAATAATGTGATTATTACAATAATTTATTCAGATCCTCCAAGGCTCAAATACACAACTGAAATCTTTTGGATTTGTATATTTTATTGAGGACTCAAGAATAATCTGTACTCGCCCAAAAGTAAAACAGGTTTGAATCTGTCAAAATGGTCCTGGAATATTTTCCTTCTTGTTCCCAAAATAAAATCCTTAAATAAGAAATAATTACCAAACTCTTTTTATCATAAATACCATTTTGTTTAGCATTCCAAGAAAAATAAAATAGTTTTGAGATTCTTGAGTATCCATTACTTTTAATTTGTATTTATTTTTTTCATGTAGTATTTTAAGCAAATATGAGAAGTATGTAACTTTGGAAATTAGTTATAAACTACTGACAGAATTTTAAATTTAAGAGAAAATAAGTGGTTTTAAATAGACAAAACCAGGTCCTCTCCATGTTGCTCTAATGAAGTTCAATGAATTCAATTCAACTCATTAATTGGCTACGTGCCAGTGAATATGCTAAGCTTCAGACACATTAAGACTGGAACACAGTAAAACACTTTCATCCTCCAGGAAATTGAACATAAGCTGTTCATTAATTTGCCTCTAAAATACTAGTAGAGGGCGTACAAGGGATACATCCTCTGCTCACGGGGTGTAACCTCCAGGGTACGAACCATCAGGACTGTATGGAAGTACATGTTCAGTCAATGACTTGTCTTTAGATATACCAAATGACAACCTACACTTCACCCTCTGATTTCAAGTCATTAAATTTGCGAGTTTTATGTAAAGAGGTCTAGAATCTTGCTATTAAAATTTGGTCTGTAGTTCTATAGATAGCAGCAATAGCAGCACAGGTGATTTTAAGAAAAGCAGTGTCTTGGGTCTTTGCCCCTGACCTGTGAATTCAGAATCAGAAGTTTAAAAAGGATCCACAAGAGAATCTCATGTACATTAAAAGCCTGAGATGCACTGCCCTAATAATGAAACTGAAACTGTACTTCGGGGGTGCTACTTCCCTAAGCAGGCAAGAGGACTTGGTTAAAGATTACTTGATTTAAAAAATCAGAATGTAGCTATGACATCACAATGACAAATAGAAGCAAAATACAATTGTGAAATGCAGCAATCAGTCTCACCATTAACACACTTCCAGTGATATCAGCTGCACTGAAATATAGAGAATGATTCATTTTCAGTTAATTTAGAAATTCTAGTCACAAATGAACAAAGCCCTCTTTCATTCCCATTGATCCTCACAATCCATAATGGTTCTATGGAGCAGTTTTGCACACATCAGAGGGACTGAAAAATTATTGTATCTTTCAATAATATTGTATTTTATAAAACACAAATTGTAAAGGAAATAACCTCATTTCTTTGAGACACACCAGTGCTTAAAAAATCCTACTAGTCAAAAGACAGATTCTACTTGATTAGAAGGAAAAAGATGAGAAAAGCTGTTTTATTTCATGAGTATTGATTCCCAATGGGACTTGATAAAAATGTGAAATTGAGAAGAGAGAAAAGCTGATTTTCTTCCTACAAAACTCCAATCTCTTACAACTTGAAGACAAAAAGAAAAAGAGGAAGAATAAAAATAAGGAAATATAATAATTCAACTACCAATTGACTTGAAGTGCTGAAAAATGTCTACAAAATTTTCATTATTTCCAGATGTATACTTCACTCCACAATCATCTAAATGTGGCATCCTGGGGGAGAAAATGCCGAGCTGGAAAAAGCGACAGGGCCTGTTTCAATACCCTATGCACCAGGTGGGTGCTGTCAGTCTGCATCCAGTGAAAGACCCGATTTCTTAACAGGCTTGGGGGAGCCATACCTCTCTGAGCTCAGTAACCTATCCAGCATCCTGCCCAGGTATCTTTTGGACATGCACTGCTACACTTAGGAGTGCGATGAACTTTGGTGGGCAGTTTCTGTCTCTGACTCCTGTGGTGCTCATCAGTCTGTGAGGTCACTTATTTGGCATGTTTCTATTAATTCTGACACGCAGCACTTCCACACTCGAGGTTTTTCAAGCATCTTGAACTTTTTAGTAGCAATAAATAGAGAACATTTTTTTCTTTAACTTCTCTTGAGACAGCAAGGCTTAGCCACAGAATCATCTTTTTTCTCCCCTACACTAGAAGCTGAAATGATGCTGAATATACTAAGATTCAAGATATTTGGCTTAAAAGATCTACAGTAATTTTTTTTTTTGGGGTACTGGGGATCAAACTTGGGACTTTGCACTTGCAAAGCAGGCAGCGGCACAGATTTACAGTAATTTTATAGAGTTTATGAATTATTAATTATACGAAAGGGCGCTTGCGCACAAAGAGTTGTTATAACCCAAGTATATTTAATGATGAAAATGCATAAGAAACCAATAAAATATATCATGCAAACAAAGCAGCTTTATTCTGATGAGTGAAAAAGTCTGAGTGAATACATAAAATTATAGATCAAAACCAGAGGGGAACAGCTATAGAAAGGTTTTTTAAAAATATCCATATGTGTTTTTTTTTAAATATCCAAATGCTGCCAAGATAGATCTCACTAGACTAAATCATCACAGCAGGCTAATTTCCTTAGGCAAAAAACGTTGCAAGGAGTATCAAAATGAAGATTAAATCCAACTACTGAGGGCTGTGATAAATACTTCACCTTGTTCCAAACACTAAAAGATGCCTGAAGATTTCACGGTGAGTACCATGTTAGGTGTAAATGGACCACAGCTCTTCAGGGGGATATCTTTTCTTTTCTTCTCTCATTAACCCCATGACCAGATGTCCTAGTGAGGTATAAGTTTACTATCAAGATGGGAGTTACCACAATGGAACTGCACAGGAAGGACATTCAAGTTTGTGGAACAGTAATAATCAAGGTCATTTCCCGGGGCACTTGTAGAAGGGCCCAGAGGGTAGAGCAAGCTTCTGTGTGACTCCAGAATTAAGTAGCTGCTGCCATGAGAATGGAAAGAGGAGGGCAGGTTTCACTTGTTCTGCAGAAGTATTCTACATTTATTTCTGTACTCTAGTACAGAAAAATATCTGTGTGGTCTTTTTTCCAAGTTCTATCTCTAGGTTTTATAAGCTTGGCTTTGACCATTCCAAAACCATGAATAGTGGAGAAAGTCTCATATTTTTAGTCTTTATAGTGTAATCCAAGCAAGCTGGAAATTGTAAAAAAAAAGACAGCTTACACACAACCATGAGTGGCTTTCAAAGGTCCAGAAGAAAGTAAGTCTAGAGCTTTTTCATAGTGACGCAATGAAGAAAGTGGATTTCTTCTGCATAAGGAGGCTCTCTTTGTCCTTCACTGTTTTCTGCTTTAACCTAGAAGCTACAAACTCTAAAAACTACAAAAACATTTAGTGAGAGACAGGTCTGAACCAGTTGTTTAACTTCTACAGGCAACAGGCAGTTGTTTTCATGTCTGGGTTGCGGATGCCGAAGGTCCACAGAGAGCCGGTGATTCAATTTTTGCTGCTACTTTAACAGCTGCAGATAAGCATTAGCAGAAACTGTTTTGTGTCTTTTTCTGAGTAATGAAAAGGTCAAAATGGCACATCTGTGTGATAGGAATAGATACAAAGAAAGAAACAGGAGAAGTGACGACACATAAGTCTGAGTCAATGAATGTGCTGAATAGTCATTTATTGCCTGGTGCATCT